AAAGATCCCGTCCAATTCAGGAAACTTTCTCAATTCTTGAGGCAACAATCTTTGAATTCCCCTAACATCACAAGCTACTACCACTCCATCTGCATGAATGATCTTTCCAGGGGCATTTCCTCTTGCTTCCTTTGCAATTTCCATTCCAATCACTTGCAACTTGTCTTGTACAGTCTGATAGATTAGACGTCTCACTTTTTTTCTCAAGAAAATTTCTGCATTTCTTTGTTGCAAATAAGCAGCCATGGGATGTGTCTATCATGTATATTATTCAGTCCTCCATCGTTATCTCTTGTATTCTTCATACTCACCAAATATTCTGCTGGTGAACCTTTCAACATTCTCAATACAGAAGCTTCACTCCTTGTAGCAAATAATAGAAAAATGGTCAACATACATCTAGCGGAGATTTGATGACAGTCGATGAATCCTAAAGCATAAGCGATTGGATTCCATAGTCTTTCCAAACTGTGTGTTGAACCACCATGTGATAGAAACCATTGAGCAAAACTATACTTATCCAACGCTCTTATTTCTCTCATGGCACCATCATAATCTATCCATCCACGCACGACAGGAGAAGTCGCTAGTACCCAAGCGTTTCTTAACTTTTCGACGATATCCAATTGCTGTGTTGTAAGAAAAGCTTTGATACCATTCCAAGGTGCACCTATGGATCCCCATCGAAAATCCAATCCACTTATTTTACCTCCTTTATTCACATATTGATGAACGTGTTCTTTGAGCAGCAAGTTGTCCAACATTCCCAGTTTGCTCATCAACCCAAAAAGTTCATAATAACAACCAAAAAAAACATGCAATCCCATTTCAATATGATTGCCGTTTTTATCTACCCACGAAGCTACTTTCCCACCCAATACTTTTCTACTTTCGTAGATGGATACTTGATAACCTTTATCTATCAAATGGATGGCAGCCGATAAACCAGCCAAACCACCACCCACTACCGCAATATGACTAGTCTTTTGTAACATTGTGATTTTATTTATTTTGTTTTTCTTATGACAAGATAAACAACCACTTCGAAGTGGTAACTTGTTGGGGGAATAAAAAGACCATCCTAATATCATCATCATCACCATAGAAATAGAAAAGAATGGAAATCACAAAAATATATATTTTTGTCTCTCTTTTATCTTTTTCACAAAACAAACAAACAAATGCACACAAACACATATTTCTAGGGCCAATCACGTCCATTCCTATTATTCACTCGTAGAAGAATAAACCTTGTGGATAAAATGTACGACTTGTTCAATAAAATCTCGAATACACTGTTCGCTGTTGTTGATAGCATGATTGGCATTGGATAACATATAACTGGTTGCTCCCATTACGTTACATAATCTTTTGGCTAGTTCTAACAACAGTCTTCAACTGCTATGGAAATGGAGTTCTGTGATATGCTTACCTGGATAAGAAATATGATTAGGAATTGCTTCATCCTTTTCACAAAAAAGGGCCAAAGTAGGCACATTTCTCATATGACGTAGACGAGAATCCAGTTCATCATCGGTCAAGTCATAAGAGAACATATCATCATCACCTAAACGTTCAGCCAAAGATAAAAACCGTCGAGCAGTTAATACTGGAAATACAGTCGTAAATAATTTTCCATTCAATAATGTTTCTGGTCCTTGTGTTGCATAAATGGTTCTTGCTTTTTCTAGCCTTTCTTGAGCATCAGGTAATGACTGAAGAAAGTCTCTATCGCTGACAGGAGCTTGTAATACTATTCCTCGAATGAGAGTAGCATTTCTACCTTTGCGAAAGAATGTCACTGCATCTTGACAACCTGTGGAATGACCTATTAAAAAGATACAGCTGGGTTCATAGTGTTGTGATAAGAAGTCTATCAAAGTATCCAATTCCATCACGTCTTGATCGAGTGAACTCGTACCAAAACCTGCAAGTGAAGTGAAAGAAGCGTCATCAGTTCCGTGATATTTGTATAGCTATGCTGACTTGCCGTGATAGGAAGAACTCAAGATGGGTTGTACACAAGTAAAACCTTGATTGTATTATCGTGTATTGAAAGAAGATGGATCTTGCCAAGATTCACTTACCTTGAGAGTGGAGAGCTTTTGCCATGGGACCCCAATAGCGAGGAGAAAATAAGCCATCGGTAAGACCTATCACGAGTGGTTGAGAATGAAAGCCTATGAACGTGTTGTATGCTGACCTGCTATGAATATGACCAAGGCTTTACTTCCTGGATAAGCAACAAAAGCAGCCAAGTGTTTATGTTCGTCATATAAACAAAGTTCACCTGGTATTCGGTTTGTATAGATAATACTATCGAGTGGGATATTTTCACTTGGGATGGACATGGAAATACAAAAGCTAGTCCTTCTTCTTCCACTCTCTGCCTATTCATTTGTGGAAGGGAAAATGAATAGGCTCTTTTTTGATTTCTCTTAAAACGAATGTTTCTTTCCTCTTGTCTTTTCATATAAAGTATACATAGTAGTAGAAAAATTACCAGCAAAAGTAGATAAAAATAAGATAGAAGCAACCAATATTTGAGTTTCTAATGGAAACATTCTCCATAAACCATACAGAAATATACAATTGTAGAGTTGAATAAACTGCCCAACGATAACAAACGGCATCAATAACTTCATACTCGAACCCCAATGGATTTGAGTGGAATCGGTATTCGCTACATCCAATTCACCAGCTTTACCAAGTGAACGAAGAGTATACAAACGAGCCATTTGATAACTATTCAAGTGATGGATATTCAAGAATAATCCCTATATATATATACACTTACCGTGCTTGAAGTATCTGTAATAGTGCAGTATACATTCCAAAAATATGCAATCGATTGCGAAACATTGCATAAGAAGTGGAATCTGGCCAAGTTAGAAAACAGGTCGCTATGCCCATCGACAAGTAATGATGCCATATCCACCAAGACTTGATATTACTTCCATTGGCTCTAACACAAAACATACACAAAAGAATAAAATAAGAGAATCATAACATTACCTCAAAATATTCTCTCGAATAGCTAAAGAAGCATAATAATAGGCAAGGAATAACTGTAACAACATATGCAACCAACGATTACGTTCAAATAAAAAACAGAGAAAAGTCATCCAAACGAAAAATGGACCCAAACGTTTCTTATAAAGTTCATATTGCTATTCCATATAGTAAGAAAACTATGATTCCAAGCAGTCAAATATACCGTTTTGAAAGCTATCCTTTGTTGCCTTCTTCGAAAACGAAGGTCGGTGGTGCCAAGAAACAACTCTACAAATAGTCCACCTGAAACAGGCATAAGTGAAGACAATTGTTTCAAATCACAACTCCAAGACTCGACTTTTTCCTTGGCAGTTGTATATTGAACAGTATCGTTAATATCTTTCAAATAACTCTTCAGGGACTCGACGTCCTTCTTTTGCGCCCGATATTTGCTCTCAAACTCCCCTTGAAGAGTATCCAATTGTGAGAAACTATGTCTCAATTGGTCAGATGTTTGCAAAAGTCGACTGTGTGCACTTTCTACATCTCTCAGATACTCTTCCCAATCTAAAAGTGGAGTAGTCTGACTTGTAACACTACTCGTAGCAACACTGCCTTCCGCACCAGACTTTACAGAATTATAATTCTCTCTTTTGGTTTCAACTACCATAATGATATGCAAACTTTTCTCAAAACAAACAATTTCTACAAAACATTCTCTCTTTCACGAAAAAATAAAGATGAGTCAAATGACTCGTTGGATTTAGATGCCTTTCCTAAAACTTCGGAAGACATAAGAATCCAAACTAGAACAGGTGGAATACTATCAGTTATATGCTTTGGTTTCATGATACTGTTGATTATTTCAGAAGTTGGAAGATATTGGAAACCTCAAGTAACCACTCACTTGGTTGTCGATTATAATCGAGAAGAGAGCTTTGAAATATATTTGGATATTACGTTTCCACATATAGGTTGTGGTGCATTAGGATTGGATACTATGGATGGTAAGCAATAAATAATAAGGAGACTGCAAGTGTAGATATCATACCTTTTTTTATATAAGCTACGGGAGACTCCCAGTTGGAAGTTGTCAATTCGAAGCTTTCCAAGTTTCGAGTATTTCAAAATGGAAGTCAAGTGTTGTGGAATCAATCGATAGTAGAGAAGGATGGTAAAGTCCATTCCTTTGTATTGGAAGAGGCAACAAATTGTAAGTCTTGTTATGGAGCTCAAATATCAACAGTAAGAGCGATGGACGTTGTATTATGGTCATATTGAATAGTTGTGTTTTTTAGGATCAGTGTTGCAATACTTGTGAAGAAGAAGTATTATTAGCATATGAATGGATAGGTTGGTCATATCAAGTGGAACAATTTGAACAGTGTCATATGGAAGGAGTGGTACAATGGGTTCAAAGTGTTTTATCCCAAGTAAAGTTGATGGGTTGACTCAGTTGGTTCTTCTATTGAAGAATGAGTTAGGGTTGTCATTTTCAAGGCACTATTGAAGTTGCTAAGTAGGAGGCAATTTCCATTTCGTACCTGGTCATAGTATGATTAGCAAAAGTGGTAAGCAGAAATATTTTATGGGTCGATATATGAATCTCAGTCATCATATCCAAAGTGTTTGTTTTGGTAAGGTAAGTGGAATAATTCGTTTGTATATTCCTTAAGTATTCATTTTTGATTGTATAGCATGTGCCTGGTGGAAGAAATCCATTGGATGATTTGTATTTGGTATATAAGTAAGAGAGAGACAAACATACATAAATACATAAATATATTGATATGGATATGATTTTTTAGAACAAATGAAATGGGTATACATGAATACTTTATCAAAGTAGTTCCTACCAGTTATCAATATATTCATGGAGCTTGAGTTGATTCCAATCAATATTCAGTAACCGATTATTTTCGGTAAGGATTATATCGTTGATGATGATGTTCTCACAATTCTTTTTGGCAAAGGATAAGAAATGATTCCTCTTTGGGAGTTTTTTTCTTTTATGAACCTCACCTATTCGAATGGAATATAGAGAACAAGTAAGATGATTGATTGTTTTCTTCTCCATACTAAGGTAAAGATTGAGCGCAATTCTTTTCTTCTTCATTTTGTGGTTCAATTGTGTGCCATTATAAGTACAAATGGATATAATACGTAAAATTGAATGTGTTTAGATATTCACAGTAATGGGTTTATTAGATTTATTCTTTTACAAGCCATCAAAATAGATTTGGGTAAACAATATTGATATATATTTATATATATCGTTTATAAAGTCCATAAGAAAAAGGCCATATTGGCTGTTAAGAACAAAGGTGCCAACATAAACTGCCATAACAAAGCTAAAGATATGGGCTATTCAAAACAATTTCAATATCACTATATATTCTTCTTCTATATCTCAACAAAGAATTACCTCTTCACTCGTTCCAACCATTTCACACATAATCACAACATTATTGGCTGATGGAACAGCAGTTTCAATCATCATGACTAACAATTGGATATTATCTACTCGACTACCCAAAATTCCCAGATGCAATAACAACTCTATCAATATCCAACCCAATATACTATTCAACACAAAAAATATACAATAATCAAACATAAAACTATATAATCCTACTTACGGCATAATGAAAAGACGACATAATGCAATGGACAAAATACAGAAAAAAGATACTCCATGGTTACGAAATCCTCTCTATGTTATTCATTCCAACATTATTGATAAGAACTAGCATTGTTGTTGTCGTTGTACTTACTTGATAAGAATGATACAAATTGGCACCTACAACCAAAGACATCAATGCTATAGCAGCAGCACCTAATGTCTCTTGTGCAGCCACGACTACACGCAAAGGAGCATCGGAACCTATCAAAAGGAGAGCTAATGGCTTGAATATCTAAGCACACAACATTTGTCAAATAATATTGAAAAAAGAAGCAACTAGAACAAACCGTTCCAAGTAATAATGCCGATACAATGGCTATGGAAGGAGGAGTAGCCAAATGTCGATAAGAATGCAATAAATGAAACAATCTTCGATATGAAATGGAAAAGAGAGATAATGAAGAAGATTGTTCCAACACTTGAGTATTATTCATAGATGATATAGCTCTGTTACTATTATGATGTTCCTCTTTCTCCAAAAGACTTGTAAAAGAATGGGATGGATTCTTTTCTGATGCAATATTATCGTATGAATCGGATTGTTCCATAGGTTCAGAATGAGAGGACTGACCCATGGATGGACTTGGATGAAAAGAACTCGTCGTATTGTAAACTTCTACTATGGAATACAACTCATTTTCGCCATTATTCATTACGGAATCCTCTCGAGTTGAACCCTGTAAATATCGATAGAATCCTGTCCAAGATACAGTACTAAATACTAATAAGAACAGTGATATATATCCTGTGGCAGAATCTCTACAAGTGCTTCCAAGTTGTTGAAAAGAAGCTATCAAAAGTTATTTCAGTAGATATCCATATCTGCATAAATACTTACGATAAAAACCACAAAGTGTATCCATAATCAATACAGGTAACTGATTGGAGTTTCCAAGAGCACAAGCTACTATGCAAGCCCTTCTAAAAAAAGGTGGTGGTTTGGTCACTTTACAAACCAACTGACCCAAAACCCAACCCAATAACAGAAATAGTACAGCAATGACTGGAATATACCATAGTGCTAGTAATCCCACATTTACTAAGGTTCGTAAAATGGAGGAGAATAAAAGACAAGGAAGTAAAATCTCGAAGATGATAGTACTCAGATTCTTGGACATTTCCTTGCGCAGTTCTATTTGCAGAGTATAAACATTATATGATAAAGACAAGTTTACTTACGCCCTTTATGTGCCAAATAGAATCCTACTGCTGTTAATAAAACTACTTTACAAGTTCCGTTGAGAGCAGTTAACCAAACTTGAAGTGTACCGTTGTCCTCCATTCTTCCAAAAGAGAACGATCAATTCCAATCCATTTGTGAGTTGACGCTTCAGACAAGGAAACACAAGTGGGATATCTCTTCTTTATCTGGGTGCCATGTTCACTTTTTTCAACCAGTACAAATGGCCTATAGGAATTACAAGTTCATTGGTATTGCTTGGGACTTGCTGTTACCATTGGCGTGCAAAAATACTTTCTGCCTACCTTTCTTTCACTTTGGGTGTTCCTGTTAGGGTCCAACAATGTTATTTCGGAAAAGCTTCGTTAAGGTTTTTGGACGTAAAAGTGATTGCTGAACAGGATTCTTCTGTTATTCCCTCAGAAGCTTTGTACATTCCAGAGTTACGCATCCATATCCAACAACAACGCCCTTCAGGAAACCACCGTCTACTCCATCTTGTACTCGTCAAACCTCAAGTCAATCTTATTTTTCAAAATATGCAAATGACAGATAATAATTGGCGTAGATTAGCAAGGCTATCCAAAACAAAGGGACACTTGAAGAGTGGTTCCAAGCAGGGTCCAAGTATTCAGTTGGGAAGAGTCTTTTTGGAAAAAGGCGCTACACTATCTGTTCAAAGTTTTCCTTTACAACAAAAGTTGATGGAAGATATAAACTTGCAAGAAATGTATCTCGATAGGGAAGAGTTTCGTTCTTTTGATGGCTTTGTTGGATTTTTGGAAAGAATTAGTGCCAAAAATATATTGGAAGGAAATACATTGACTATGCCTCCAGCAGTTCGACAAGCTTTAAAAGACTATGCAAGTGATGTTGTAAAGCAGCGTTGGAATTCCACCAAAGACAAGTTGAATGAAAAGGTAGATAAATGGAGTAAAAAGTTGGAAGAAACCACAAAGTCTTTTGATGAAATATGGCAACATCATTCCAATACATGGAAGGTAAATATGATTTCTTACATCTTTTGATAAAAGCTGCCAATTGAGTATGTTTTATATAACGTTTCATGAAGCAATGGAAAGAAAGTGGAGGAATATTTTCTCTCGGCAAGTCATAGTTGAACAAATAAATGTTCATCCAGTAAAGAACGACAATGCTATGGATTGTAAAGAAAATAACTTGCCTGAAATATATCAAAGATAAGGCGGTGTATGATTCCACTCCTCTTCACCTTGCCAAAATAGTGCTCTTTCATATTCCACAGGTAAGTAACGTCCACTTCCATCACAATGACAACATAGTACCGAGCCTTCACCTCCACAATTTTCACAATCTGACTTGCAATACAAACAACTTACATCAGGAATAAAGCCCATGCCGTAACAGAGTCCACAAGGCAACTTTCGAAGACCTCTGCAATAGGGACACTGCCGCATCTCCTCAATCTAACCATCCAGTGTTGAGAATTCAATCTCTTGGTTTATTCTATTGCTTACTCTTTGTCTGATAACTTCTAATACCAACAAAGTTCCCATAACTCCAACAGTACCTCCAGCAAGAGCAGAAGTAACCTCATTCACGGTGGGAGGAATCATGGTCAAAGTCCAAGAGCGATGAGCAATAGAACGACTATAATAGGAACGAAAATATTCCTTTGAAACAATATTTTTACATTTTGTCTTTAAGCACAATAAAAAGGAAAAACAACAGACATTTCGTCTTATCATTCTATGCCAAGAATCTATCTGAATGAGCTGTAATTCACCAATCAATCAATCGATAAAAATAAAAAAAATAAATGAGGGGGAATTGGATGGTTGGGTTGGTTGATGGACGGGAAATGCAAAAGGTGCATTGTGATGGACTCAAAATGTATACATAAAAGACCAAGAGAAAACCAAAAGGAACGAGAGCAAACTAATGTGAATGGAAAAGAACACAGCAAGAAAGAAGATGCATCCAACGAACAACTTTTATATGACGAGAGGAATAATGACGAAAGCCATAGAGTCTTGCAAAATTCCTCGACTCTAGTAAAACACCTTCCGGTTTTAACAGGTTGTAGAAGTGTGGATAACTATGAAAGACTTAACTTTATAGAAGAGGGGACTTATGGACGTGTTTTTCGAGGAAGAGATATTCACACCAATGAAATATATGCACTGAAAGAAATCAAACTGGATAACGAAGTTGAAGGCTTTCCTTTGACATCACTCCGAGAAGTTAGCATCTTGGTTTCATTAAGGCATCCCAATGTCATTCATGTGAGAGAAGTTGTTGTCGGAAGCAACCTAAACAAGATTTATTTGGTGATGGAATATGCACAACACGATATGAAGAATGTTTTGGATAACATGAGACACCCATTTTCTCAAGCAGAAGTGAAGAGTTTACTTCGACAACTGCTTTCTGGAGTAGCTTATTTACACGATAACTGGGTTCTGCACAGGGATTTAAAGACTTCCAACCTCTTATTAAACAACGAAGGCATACTGAAGATTTGTGATTTTGGTTTGGCTAGACTCTATAGTGACCCTCTTAAGCCATACACACAACCTGTCGTTACGCTTTGGTATAGAGCACCCGAACTATTACTAGGCGCAAAGACATATACTCCAGCAGTGGATATTTGGAGTGTTGGTTGCATTTTTGCTGAATGGCTAACAAGAGAAGCTCTCTTTCCGGGTTGTACTGAAATAGATCAACTTTCACGGATTTGGAAATGTTTAGGAACACCTAACGAAGAAATATGGCCTGGCTTATCCGAGCTTCCACATGCTAGCAAGATAAAGTTTGTCAAACAGCCTTACAACTATCTGCGTCAACGTTTTGATAATACTATTTACGGAGGTCAAACTTCAGTGACCAATTTAGGTTTGGATTTGATGAATAAGCTTCTCACATATGACCCCGCAAAGAGAATACAAGCTCAGGATGCTCTTAATCATCCCTATTTTGAAGAGATTCCAAAGCCAGTAGACCCTTCTTTGATGCAAACTTTTCCAGAAACTCATGTCAATATGACTAGCTATTAATGAATTGACTTGTAGGAAACTTTGCGGTTTTGCAAGTGTATTTATAAAGAAACCAAAAAACTTGAATGATGAAAGTCCTATCTCTGTGGTTCAACTCAAGTCCACGGAAAATGTAAGGCTCACGGGATTATTCGCCTGACTTCGGTTGATCGAGACTAGAGAGTTGGCAACCAAAGTGTATATCACTTGAAGTATCTGAGAACGTTTCCTACTCTTTTCTTCTTCGACTGAGCAGTTTTGACTGGACAAAAGTTGTTCTTTTAAATTTTCCAGAGGCATTGATCCGTCGTTATCTAATAGCAACTGAATAGTTGCCGCATAAAGGTTGCCATCCAAGGCATACTGCGAAATAACCTTCTGAAGTAATATATTTAGAACTGAGCAGCGTTTCTCTAACATTTCTATCAAGTGTTCGTGCTGAGAAGACTGAACGACCTCCTGATTGATGGTTCTTAGAAGATTTTGAAGATTCGGATCTTTTTGAATAATTTCCTTCTTTCTCTCTTTACGTTCCAATATGGTGCTGCGAAGTTCACGGCAGATGTGTTGTAAATGAAGATTTTCTGCAAAATATTCTTGTCCTTCATTTTCGGATACCTTGGATTGTTCTGAATTTTGTAGTGATACTAACTTCTCTGCAATGTGATCCTCTTTTTTTTTTATGAAAACACTTGTTAGAAGAAGATACTTTTCTATAAGAGACCCATACCTAATCCTGCAAGAGTTTCTTGTTCTTGTTCACAAAGTTGACTAATCCTTTCTAGTTCCACTTGCGTGTTTTTGATTTCTTCTTGAAGCTGCTCCATTCTGATCCTATCCTGTTCAGCTTTTTCTTTTTGTTCTTTTTTTTCTTCAAGAGACCTTTCTATATGTCGTTTGTGCTGTATGTGTTCCTCATACTTGAACTGAAGGGCCTGCAACTCTTGTCTTATTTGCTCTTCCCTTTCATTCCACTCACTTGTTACAGTTTCGAGGCTCTTGTGGATATCATAATTTTTTAACGAATGTATATTTTCTTCCTGTTCTAATCTTCTCATTTCAAGTTGCTTGTATTCAGTCAGATAGGAGCCTACTTTTTCTTCGATGATAGTACACTTCTCCGACCTTGAAATATTATAAATACTTTCTTTGAATATATTTGCTGAACACTCACTTGGAAGTGAATAAAAGTTCCAGCTCTTGTATTATTTGTTGAACATTTTTGTCTTCGACTGCTGCTTCTTTTGAAGCAAGTTGTGGTCTTTTACTGTCACATGCGGCTTTGTAAAGTTTCTTTTGTACATTAGTTAGACAAGTGTAGTGGGGTGGTTTCTGCTGCACTCCACATGTCTCGTTGCTAGCACGTAGAGCCAGTTTTGATATGGCGCCTTGCAACTGTTCGATAGCGGTTTGCATTTCCATGTGCTAGTGAGGAAAATACGGACTAGGGTTCCGCCCCTCCTTTATTATCATCCATTTTGAATTTCGAATAAAGCGCCATTTTCAATGGCATTTTTCCCTCCGTTTCAGATATGACATATACCTTCTGACCGGATTTGAAAAGCTATTTTGTGGCTAGAGTCATATTCTGGAGAAAATGCAACTTCCATCTCTCTCCATTCCTTGTGTCTTAATGTTTCATCGAACGCATTCCATAAAGTTACTTTCCTCAAATAAAAACGATGATTGACGTTGTGCTTCCAAGCTTTCCCTAAACAAGGTGTTTGTACAAAGTTGTGAGGGTTGAAAGAACCTGCAGGTTGACCAGTCATTTCGTTAGTGACTAACAAGAGCGTCTCATGTTTGTATGAAATTCTCTTTAGTTGAATCCCCAATCGATGTAATACTAGAGAACGATGTTGTAACGCGTCTAAACCTGTCTCTCGAAAGAGGCGCGCAAGAGAATCGATAATGATAACTTTTGCATCAGTATTATTCAATAAATACACCAGTCGGCTATCTACAAGCACTTCCAACTGTTCCAAACTTTTCACTGTTTCCACTATGATATTGGAAGCAACACTGTTGGCTTCAAGGTAAGGATACCTCTGAACAAAGGCGGCTATGAGTTGTTGCAATCTTGATGAGGGAAAGCGACCACTCGTACAAATATAAATAACCCTTGAATCTAACCCACCATCTCTTGTTTTCAACTGACTCACTATACTGAGTTGAAGCATCAGCTGCGTCTTACCTACACCAGCTTCACCACAAAACTCAAATATTTGTCCTTGTCCTGCAATCAAACCACCGTGTAAAAAGTCATCAAGTTTTGGACAGCCAAGAGACAAACGTGTCTGACAAGAAGTATCGATATGAATAGGCAAAAGAACACTTCCGTATATACAAGTTATCAGTAGCTGCCAAAAGACTGGTGTCAATCGAAAGATGTCATCTTTTTGGGCATGAAATACAGTTTGAAGGATTGGCATAATATCCGACTGAGATAAGAGCAACAGTTCTTTACACTTTTGAGTTCCAAGTACCTCAAAGACTTTTCGCGCCTCCTCTTCTTCCAAACTATGTTTCATTGCAACACAGATTTGATTTTCTCAAACAACCAAACTGTCAAAAAATGAAAATGCTTTATTATCATTCAAGTTAGTAGTATATTCTATTCCACATCTCACCTATAATTTCATAGCATTCAACTGTGCCAAATGTGCCCGCCTTTTTGCTCGCACAATATTACGATACTTATCCTTCAAATCTATGGCACTTCTCTTTTTCTGAAAAGCAAAGGTTCTTAAAATACTTGTCCATTTCCCAACACCGTATTTTTCAACTCCACGAAGCAAGTTTTCCTCTTCCCAACGTTCAAAACGAAGATAATTCTCTCTTTTACATTTTTTCAGTTTGTTTGCTTTTCCTGCCGATGAAGTTGACTCGTTTCGTCCATCATCCAATTTGATATGCCTTTTCTTGATCGTTTTTGGTTCTGAACACAAAGAGTGACTTTCATGGTTGCTCAATAAAGCCTGTTGCTTGTTGATGCGATGATTTTCCATCGATTGCTGATCACTTCTTGCGACATTTGTATATCCATATCCAATATTTGAAAAGTCACCAGGTTCTGCTGTTGGCAATATCCTTGTTCGTGTTGGTTGATAATTATACAAGGGATGCATGAGCTGCTCCATTCTGTTTTCTTGTTGTTCGAAAGGTACTCGAGTTTGCCACCGAATTGCATTGAAATATGTTCTCATATCGAACCAACTATAAGTCGCTGCTTGATAGAAACCATTATTCATTACCGTGGTCTGGTTTCCTTCTAAAGGCATCATGTTCTCTGGTGATGAAACTTGAAACATTGTTGTTGTTTGATAAGATGATGATAAGCAAGGATTCAATATTGAGTTATTTGTAAGACGACAATTCCTTTCTTCAGACTGTTGACAGCGATTCATTGGCATCTCCATTCCATGCTTCACTTTTAGCATAGGCGAATGAACAACAGGAGAATCCTCTGATGAACTATTGTTACTTGAACACAAACAAGACTGTGAAGATATGGGCGATATTGGAATATGTTGTGTTTGTTCATCCACTTCTGTTCTCACCCAATATGGTTTCATTTTCTCAAACACCGAACACACAGAATCACAGGAAGTGTCATCCTTATCATTTGATTTTGACAAACCGGCAACCATTTTGGGGTTTTCTTCCACATGGTCACGCAACTTTTCCACAACCATTGCTGTTTAATCAATACGGCTTCCTACTCTACAAGAAGATGGAACCAATATTTGTTATGTAAAAGTAGTAACAGTACTAGTGTTGTAACAATTTTCTTGGTTTCTTTTCAATATACTTGCGCACAAACACTCTTTTTCCAAAAAGCCGTAAACAATGAAGAAATTTCGTAGAATCGACAAGGGTATGATCGGTTCATTCCATCCCAATCATTCATAGGGACACTACAGGTCATTTTGAGAGACCCTTCGAGCGCTTCTGTTCTAAAAACTATTCGCGTAGACAGTTCAAGCTTCACATAACATGTCCAAGGGACATAATGGCCAATGGGTTTCTTCTTTGGAATTATTCTTTGATAGTCAAGAAACGATATGAGAAGAGTACAAGTTTTCAAAACTGATTCTCAAACTGGGTCCCCATACTATATTCAGGGGTTACTATTATTTCTTATTTTGCTAGACCCAGCCACAAACAGCGCAACCTTTTGGTACAACACCACTATAGCCAAACGAAAAGTATTATAAAGAGGTTACCATATAAAAAAAATAGGATAAATAGGCTTTTATATTGATCAATACAGTTATCTCTACGTGCCTCAAGTATATACATACTGTGCATTGTATGCTAGTACAAAGGCCATTTCGGTTTCTATCGTATACTTAAACAATACTAATGGTATCCTCAATTTCTCTTCATCAAAGACACAATGTCAAGCTTCGTGATTCTGCGGAAGAAATGGCTTCAAAGTACCGTTCTTTTCGATCAATACAGGCTGATACCTAAGAAAAAGTCACTAAAACTCAAAGCATAGGGAAATATCATTACCCAAAACAATTACTTTTGGTAGAATCTGTGCCAAGAGAAGACCAAATCTTCCAGGAATGCCAAAATCCGCCAACGGAACTACTCTTGTAGCCACTAGCAACATCGGAAACTGCACTTGGTTCCAATTTCGCTGGATTGGGACTAGCAACTTTACAATCTAACCAGATTACGATGGCTGTCACATCATCTACTACTAGTTCATTCTTTCTCCATCTCTTTACGGCCTCTTGAACAAGAGACTCGGCTGCTTCCTGAGCTGAGCATTTCCGACGATACTTTCCCAAAAAATCTACTACTTCCTGCGATGACATGAATTCCCAAACACCGTCCGACGCAAGAACACAGAATCTAACCATTCTAGTTAGAAAAGTAATATTATCCACATGCAGACATACTTATCCATCTCAGAGAGCTGAATACAAGTAACTTCAGGGATCTCCGAGACCCCAACACTATGCAAGAGAGAATCTCCAAAAGAGCGTGTCATTGCTAAACCCGGAATCCACTCATCTGCAAGCCAAACCCTAAGAGGACCGATACCAGTCTGCCATGAAGCAACTCTTCCTCCAGCGGCTACAACTCTTTGTGTCTCATCTGTTCGACTAGGCTATATATACACACACATATATATATATATATATATTTATGATTTCAGCAAACGTAATAAGAAAATACCAACCTTTTGGTCATAAGACATTTCCACAGCCATATATTTTTCTTTGGCCATACGGGAGACAGAGTGTGGACTGCATTGCCTTCCAATAACACATCTTGAGTCTCCCAAGTTACAACAAAACAACAGTGTTTGGTATAGCCATGCAACGACTGCCGTTGTGCCACTCATAAAAGTATCCACATTAGAGTCCGATGAATTCAATATTTTTGAACAGTCTATGAAACCTTGTATAGCTGCCTTGACGATATCCAACTGATGTTTTCCTTTCAACTCTGTACAAGTGACCATACTGGGGTCTAGTCCTTCCGACAAAGTTGTTTCCGTCGACTTTGCGTCTTCTTGGTCAGAAAGTTTTGATAAATCTTTCAGTTGTGAATCAAGGACTGTTGGGAGGATATCTCTAACAAACTAGCCATTGTCTCAGTTCTAAATTGAATACAAATACTATCCGATTCCACTACCTCAGCAACAGCTCTCCCACGAGCACCGTGTCCATCAAAGACACCAAAAAAAGCTTCCTCTGAACGGCCACCAAACCTTTCATAACAACAAAATGCGTCCTTTCAAAAGTTTCAGTCGTCTTTCAAAACAAATATGGACATAAAATACCTGATTTTCCTTTCTTGCTTGTTGACCGTCTCGTAGTTCGCGTACAGGTTCCCATCCTGCCAACGAAAATGTTCCATACGTAAAATTCAAGACAGGAGACGCTTCTGAAACACCTTGAAGCTAGCATGAAATATCCAAATTATCTTGTTTCGTTCCATAGGAGTGAGTTCTCACCTTTTTGTTCAACAAGCCGTTTGAGTTGATGTTAGAGGCAATTGAATTATCTGCACTTAGTTTATCAAGTGTTTTTAAAGTTCCTTTTGGTGTTTTTGGCTTTTTAAAACTTTTTGCTGCAATAGGCGCTGGTTTTGCAAGTTCTGATTGTAGAACTTGTGGCAGTCGTGGAGTACGCTTCCCGCCAATGGCTGGTAACTGTTCCCCTTCTACATCTAAAGAAAGTCTGAGCCTTTGTTCTCTCAAGTTAGCAATATCAAGAGACGTGTCGTCTTCTAAAGGAGAGTCGCTTGCAACTCCCTTGATTCTCAAAGCTCGCCCTTGGGAACTTGCCATTTTGGGTTGGTCTCCTCCTGTCTCCGAAACATCGGCTGATGCTTTAGTGCTTCGATTTCCCATATTTTAATACTAGTAGAATTCTTCCTCAGACAGCTTAACATACAAGCGTGCGCCAAGCGTCTCTATCCAGCAATATTGAGATTTTTCATTCGTTGTAAAAGTGGGACATGCACATGATATGGAAAAGGATTGATGATGATAGCTTCTTGTTGATGATTCCCTTTGACAACTTTACGCATGATTGATTGTAAAGAAACGCTGACACAAGGTAATGAATGATTATAACATAACAGTAGAGAGAGTTGATCAACTATAGAAATTAGAGATGGAGAGAGAGAGAGAGAGAGAAAATATGGATGAATGGTAAATAGAAAGTTTTCTGGAGGATGGAGATTACATCGATGGGATTTGTCAGTATCACACTTGGAAAACAACCCAAAGTAAAGCACAGACTTGTTACGTTGTGTCCAGGAAAGTATGGCAATAAGTATATGGCACCCCTTCAATTTCCTCTCCGATCAACCTTGAAAGCAGTAACTCCACACTCGGATTCTAGTCCCACTGGTTCAGACATGCGTCTTGGACAAGGCCCTCCAGAGGACTTGCTGAGAGAGATTCAGCGTCTACGAGAAGAAAATGAGAGATTAAGAAAGTCTGCAGTTATTGACTCACCACTGAGTGATGACCGAGTTGAACCTATTGAGGACGATAGACCACTGGGTTTGCCGTTAGAAGATGGGAAGTTTTTACCCTTTAGTGTTGTAGAGGTGAAGAATCCTACCTATAGAATTATTCCAATTCTTGGAGAAGCACAATTAGTGGATAGAGAGTTGCTCGTGAACTATGAACCTGAAATATTGGAGACGTTTTGGCAAAACTCTAAAAACAAGCAAGATATTGACACAACACTACCTGTTGGTTTATGGTCCAAATGCAGTGTTCCTGAGTGGAGCTTTCCTGGTAGACATGTGGTTGTTCCTTCTTGTGAGATTATCTCATATGAGAGAAGACCAATTGGAATATTCATCCCTGGTAGTTTATTGAAAGTATCTTTCGTAGATGGTATTGACCACAAAGTATTGATGATATTTGAAACAAAAGAGAACTATTTATCACAGAAAGATTCAAGTGATGGAATTTGGCTTTGGCAGTGTCCAGAGAAGTCAACTTTACAAATCGGGCGGTTAAGAATAGCAAAGACGGAATGGAACCCAATGGGACGGCTTTTATTATGTCTTTCACCCAAAATAGAAAGTCCTTATCATGAAGCCCAAACATTCTTAGAAGTAGATGAAGTCTTTTAAAAGTTATATTCATTCCTTTTTAGAACTTCTTTGTTTTTTATAAAAAAGACGAAGCCGTCCTAGAAAATATTGTAAGAAAGGCTATTGAAACAATGCAACTTTATTTACCGTAATGAGAATTGAAGCACTGCATCATGTATGCCATCTGCAAATAAAGGAACAGTCTCTCTACTTAAACCAGCCATACTAGCTCTTCCATCTTCGGTCATATAGATATGATATTTTTCTCTCAAATATCGAACCTTGTCATTCTAGTTAAGAAACATCCATATTTATGACTTTTTTTAGAGCTAACCTGTTCTACATTTAGTCCCGTAAATGAAAACATTCCTATTTGTTTTGTGATATGTGACCAATCACCCGGAGTCTTTCGAGAAACCAATGCTTCAAATAACAACTTTCTCATTTCTTGGATACGGCCTGACATTTCTAATAGTTCTTGTTTCCATTCTTCAAAAAGAACAGGATTGTCTACAATCATTAGCAAATGAAACCAATACTTTGAAAGACTTACTCAGAATTCTGGAAGCTATTCTAGCACCATTTGCAGGAGGACTTGAATACATGGAACGAATTATGGTTTCCAGTTGACTCTGAACGGAAGCAACTACGGAAGAATCCTTGCAAACAAAAGACAATGCACCAACTCTCTCTCCATACAAACCCATATTCTTCGCAAAGCTTTGGGCAATCAACATTTCTATTCCACTTTGTTCAAACATACGCACAGCAAAAGCATCCTTTTCCAAGTCCCCAGAAGCGAAGCCCTGATAGGCCGAGTCAAAGAACACCAAATGCTGCTTCTGTATGACGACTTGCAATATTTGTTTCCATAGTTGCTTTGAGGGATCTGCTCCTGTTGGATTATGAGCACAAGCATGTAATACTATGATAGATTGGGAAGGTATGTTTGTCAAGTCATCGAGGAGACCTTTCGCGTCTACATCACAGGAAACGGGGTCAAAATATTTATATTCGGAAACTTTGAGACCGGCAGACTGGAAGACCTTACGATGGTTTCCCCAGGAAGGACGAGGTATATACACGCAAGGTTTTTCAGTAGTTGCTGCTGGACGATAAAATTGGCAAAGGAATTCTGCACCCACTCTTAAAGCTCCCGTTCCTGAAAGAGATTGAACAGTTACAACACGCTTCTCTTTAATGGATTGGGCTTTTTCACCCAAAATAAGTTGAACTGCTGCTTGACAAAAGGATGGTATTCCAGCCATGGGAATATATTCGTGATCAGGTGCTGGTTCCTGTTCTACTTTACGAACTACTCTTAGAACGGCAGGATTTCCGTTATCATCCCTATATGCACCCACACTCAAGTTTAATTTCTTTTTCTCAGGATCGTTTCTATAGAGACTTGCTATTCCTAATATAGAGTCTGGTGGAGCTGCAGGAACATGAGACCAGTGACTCGTAGCCATCGCCCTTCAAACAAGGAATTTCTGCTATTAGAATAAACAGCAAGTTGGATAATTATAATTCATAAACAAAACTCTAAAAAAATTCTTTCAGAAAAGTCATTGTGAATTGAAAGAGGAATGGCAACCACGGAAAGTGGCAAAAAAGTTAGCTTTAAAATAGTTTTGACTTCAGACCCCCATTTACCCTATCGAATGTAAGTTAAAAACCTGTTCTAAAGAAATCTTATACATACCTTTGCAGTATTCAAGTTCCAGATAATGCACCATTCACAGCAGTTCTCAAGTTTGCTGCTGAAGAGTTTCGAGTACCTTCCACTACGAGTGCTATTATAACTAACGACGGGGTGGGAATCAATCCTCAACAAAGTGCAGGTACTTGGTAGTATTTGCACCAGAGTTATGGCTAATTGTTGTTCAGGAACAGTTTTTCTAAAGCACGGTGCCGAACTTCGATTGATTCCTCGTGATAGAGTGGGAGGATTATTAGTATCAATTTACAAATAGACAACCTTCGTTTATAATCACTAGTCCACTTGTTCCCACCAACGTTTTGATCACAACCTAAAAGTTACAAAAGGCTAATCTTCGTATTCTGAAGATGAAGCTTCCTCTTCTGAATCCGTAAAACTTTCACCATCCCGACGCAAATGTGCCGCTTGCAAAGCATTAACTGCAACCACACTAGTCGAAAAGCAAGTAAGCTTGTTGGAGTATCTTCCACTATTCCCAGAAAGAACAGTACCACCAGAACTAGTCGATATTCCCGAATGCATTTCCAGCCATTGTGCCTTTTCTTCCTCCGTTATTTCTTCTCCATGTTCTCCGTTCTCCGGATTCCATCCCATTGAACGAAGAAGAGACTCAAACTTGTCATAATCATCATTAGAGTTGTGTAGTTGCTTCTCTACTGTTTTCCAACTTGCAGTATTCTCTGAACTCTTCTCATTAGAATGAACTTCCTCATTATCCACAAAGCTTTCCACCTGGCTCAAATTATCTCCCTCGTTGTCTATAGATAACTGTTTCTTATTCTCAACAATATCTTCCGTTCTATTCCAATGACCTTGAAGAGAATCCTTCATATCTTCATAAACTGCATTGGCTGAATGACTACGGTTCATTTTGTTGGATTTCAAAACATTCCAAGACTTTTTCCGACTTTCGTTATCAACTTGGAGAACATGAACTGGCTTCTTATCTACAGAAGATTCCTGTTGCAAAGTGTAAGGACGCATTGTACCTGTATTTCCACCACTCTTCTCCAAAGTTTCTAAAGTATCTTTCTTTGATAGACGTGGCAGTGGAGACAAGGTTTGTTTTTTTCTCGGATAATTGGAGTTAGTAACAGTAGCAGACGATGAATGACTCGTCATAGAGGTTCCTAGTCTTCTTGGTATGTTTTTGGAGCTATTGGTTGCAGGAACCAGTCTACTATATAAAGTCTTTTCAACCTGTTCCATAGAATAGGCTTCCTTCAGCTCCTCTTTGTCTTCATTCTCCATATGAGACTCAGGTTTCGAAGTATGAGCTACTCCTGCAACAATTTCCGCTACAGTTGGTCCCATAACTCCTTGTCCTCTTTCTTGTGTTTCCTTAACAACTGTATGCTTTTCATTGTTTCTTTCTTCCGCCACCATTAAGTGTCCTTTTGAAGCACTTTTACCAGAATCCAATTGAGGAAAATTTCTATCAAAGTAAGAGTTGCTTTTCTTCCTAGTGACGGAAGGTAGGGTTTGAGAAAACGAATAAGGTAGAGACGCAAGTTTTGCTGCCAACTCCCCCTTTGAGTCATATTTGGGCTTGTTTGTATGACGAGCCTTATTATCCGAACCCATAAGGTTATTGGAATCCATATATAAATATGGTTTTAAGGTATATATATAAATATAAATATAAATATATATATATATATATATTATATAGCCACTCCCCAAGCAGCAATAGTGCGAGCTTTTCTACCCTCCTTTTTTTTGTACCCAAAATTCTAACAACTTGCGTTACATTCCATTTGTATCATTTCTGTTGTGTGGAGAGGTTTTACGTATGCAAGAAGATACACCTCAAGGAACGAGCACAACTTGGGAAGAAACAACTAGTCAGTCTTCTCAAGAGGACACAATTTCAGAAGCAGGTTTTGATAGCAGTTCTAGTTTTGACGACTTGGATGACGTTTTGGGACTGGAAAATCCCGACATTTTCCCCTTTTTACCTACTGAAGTTCCTTTGTTTGAAGATGTATGGCCTGTATTCGAAAGGTAGAAGATAATGGAAGAGCCTTTATTATGTGTTTGAAGATGCTTTTAATAGGCTTGAGCTTTTCCAAGAGTTGATACAATTCATAAAGAATGAAAGAGAAGCGTTGAAGAAACGTTTTCAATTACGACAAACATACTTGCACGAGAAAAGAAAAGTGAGAATGGAGTTTATTTATCTTTTAGTTGGATATTCATATCATATGGTAATCTAGTCAGCAAAGGAGAAATTGGAGTTCAAGTTTAAACAAGCGCAAGACAAGTTACGTATACGAAAGGAAAGAATTGGTCAGCAATTTCAGTCTGCCAGAGGTTCCTTGAAGCACCGCAGAGAAAAACTCAAAGAAAGCTTAAAGAAACAGCGAGAACGTTTTAAGGAGGCGTAAGTACTTGTATATTGTTCTTGTCTCTCTCTCTCAACTTGGTCACTCACTAGGTTGAGACAGCCTCTTTTTGTGAAGACTATCGACAAGTTTGCGTTTATTGTGGGAATTGCAAACCTGGTCGTGACCGAATATTTTCTCTTAAGAGCTCCACGAGCACTATGGAAATATTATTTATTGCTAATTGGACCTCTTATGATATTGAGGTGAGATAAACTATTTCAATTACAAGATAACTCATCAACTCGATGGAAATATAGATATTGGTTATATAGACGTGCAAAGTTTCATTATTTTATGTACGACTTTTGTTACTTTGCTCAAATTTTGCTCATCGTTTCTCTCTTATTTTATCCAACTAGTCAAGTTTTTCATCGCATCAATTTCGGTATTGCCAACGGTAGGTTAACTTGTGTCTGAGTGATACAAGATTAGTAATAATAATAATCATAATAACCAACCACACAAGGACCATTGGCTTGGGCAATCGTGTTGTGGAGAAATTCGTTGGTATTCCATTCACTGGATAAAATGACTTCCTTATTTATTCATTCCTTTCCGCCTTTGGTTACTTATTGTTTACGTTGGTATCCCGAAGCTTGCGAATGGAAGGAGACGACTCGTTTACATTTTCTTATACAGATGGTAGGAGCACCATTTGCTTTGTATTTGTTATGGCAACTTTTGTATTTGTTGAAGACGGAATGGTTTTCCAGAAAAAAGTTGAAACAGGATCCGGATTTGATGACTTCATTACGATATTTGACTAAAGAAAGAACTAGTCTGTCTTATCATATGATTAGTATGTTTGGGGAACAATATCAACTCGCCACTTTTGTGGGTCTTCAGTGTGTCTATACGCTGTTAACGTTATTCTTTTCTACGCTCTTATATAATCATCAATGGTTTCATGCGGTGTTTCTTGCTTGTATGGGTTTCGCATCGTTATGGAACGGTGCCAGTTATTATTTTGATATTTTTGCTAGACGTTATATGCAAGAAGTCTTTGCTAGAACAAAATCTGAAAGTTACAATGCTCAAAATACCTTGGAAAAGAAAAATGAGTAATATAGATAAAGCAATGAATGATGAGTGGATATAAGTATTTATGAAACAGTTGACTTCTTTTCCAGTTGAAATTATTTCTTAGCATGTCAAGTATGTGGAAATGATATATCTAAATGAGCATTGTTCAAGGAATCGTCTATAGTCCCATTCTCACCTCGTTCAGGAGTGGTTTGTCTATCATCTTGTTCCACTTTGCCACTAGTCTGTTGAAATAAAAGAGTTTGCATGGCGTTCTCTTGGTATATTTGATGATTTGCTGTATCTTGAAGTGCTGCAGTACTGAAAGAATCATTTGCAGTAATACCAGCGTCACTAACATTTTCTTCATTTCCAAAACTCTGATTCATATATTTCAATGATTGTTCAGTCAGCCGACGGTCATTTTCCAGCTCCAATAATTTCATTTGATGAGTAAGTCTCTTTATTTCAGCTTCAAGTTCTGCAGTTTTGGCTCTGGAAGTTTGCAACGCGTCCAATGATGCCAACTCATTCTCTCTCGAGTCAATCCATCTGCAAAACTTTAGGATCTAAGCATTGCTACAATAAGAAACCTTACCTTTTAATGATGTTCATGGTCAAAACCTTAGCATCCACTGACCACGATTCTAGTCCTTCTATCTTGGCAAAGATGGATTGCAGCTTCTGACCAGAGTCGCCAGAAAGCTTTTCCTCATCTGAAATTTCTCCATTTCGATACTCGATTTCGGCATCTAGATCATCGATACTCTCTTGTATAATAGCTACTTGTCTATTGTCATCTTCGTCGACGGAAGCATTTTCACGAGAAAATGATGAAAGCAATTCTGCAGTCGCTTCACGTTCGGCAATAGCTGCTTGTCTTTGTGCTTTATGTCGAAGAACATCTTCACGTTGTCGTCTCTGTCGAACAGCACGTAAAACTTCTCGATCTATTTCCATTTGCAACTTACGAAAACGGACGACGTCTGTATATGAGTTGGGTATGATTCGACATGAACGTAAAACCTGTTGAAAAGTAAATAGGCAAAGTAAACAACTGTTACTCGACACAAACCTGTTGCTGTCGAAGTATGATAGATTTTTGACGAGAACATTCTTCTTTCAAACGATTCAAGTCCTTGTCTGTAACTTCTTTGCATTTTTGAAGATTCTCAATGCGCTGCTCGTATTCCTTTCGAAGTGTTTGATAACGCTCTTCTTCCGCTGTTATTTGTTCCATTAGCTGTTCTTGTCTTTCACGCATTTCTTTTACTTCTTTCTCCAACATTTTTCGTTCTTGGTCACTAATCATTTTTCGTTCCTTTGCTTTGCGGAGCTTCCTTTGATGCCTTTCCAAATTTTCTACTTCAGTTCGAATGGAAGCTACTTTTAATGCATAATGCTTTTCAACATCTTCATCATCTCTTTGCTCTTCATTTTGATGGAGTCGTTCTTCAATACTTTTCAACTCAAGTTCTTGCTTACTTATTTTCTCGGCTAGTTGATTAGCGTAATCCTCCTGACTCTTCAACTTCTCAGATAGTTTCTTTTCGTTATGAACAAGCTTTCTAATTAACATTTCCTTGAGGCGGACATTCATTTGAAGACAGTGAACTTGTTGCTCCATCGAGGCTCGTTGACTTTGAAACTCACGCTCTCTTTCTTTAAAAGAATCTTCAAGGCTTCGTCGCTTCTGCTGAAAAACTGTGTTGGGATATACAGAATCGATAGTGAGTATGGGATCATCCTTTGCCGACAGATGAGTCAGTTGCGAAGACTGATTTGTATCATCGAGATCGGTTGCAACAAAGTTTTGACCTTCCTTCGGAGATGACAAAAAACTATCCGAGCAACTGGTATCCAATGACTCTTCCACGGATTTCGTCGATTTTCTTTTATTTAGGGAATCTCGCTTTTTCCGGGCCTCATAAAGATTTTCATTTTGAAGCAACAATACATCTCGTTCCAATTCTAAGGACTTGACCATATTTGTCAGTCTGTGTTTCTCGTCTATTAAGTCCTTGAAGGAAACTTGGACGTCCTCCGAAACTTCCGTCTGTACACCTCGTTCCTTCACGTTTGTGGCATTCACAACATGTGGATTTGAAACTTGCGAACTCATTAGCATAGAGTGATTCACGCGACCACTTTCTTGTTCAGCCAATTTTTGTTTCAACTCCTGAACTTGTTTTCTCAATTCTGCTATCTCTTTGAAAGCCGGATCATGGTTAATAACTGGACGATTTTCAATGTTTCTAGCTCGATGAGCATACTTTAGTGTATTCAAAGTTTCCTGAAACGAATCATCACTTGGACTTATACATGCTATCATGGCAGTTCTTGAGTTTCCACCAAGAGAATTTGTTAAAATCCTTGTGAGCTTTGATCTTCTATAAGGAACGTGAGACCCTTTCTTTTGTTGATCGCCTAAAACGCTTATCACTTCCATCAGAGCTAGAAGACTCACGTTGATGCTGATCCCCTCTTTCAATCTTGCACCTGAAGCATTCGTTCTTTTTGCTCTTTCAGAACCCGCGAGGTCCACGAGCTGAAACTGTGACGTGACCTTATCTTTAAGACCTTCTTGACCTCTTTCCGTCTTCGTGAAAATGATAGTGAAGATGGCGTGTGATCTTGAAGACTGTTGGTTCATGTCATGTGCTGCAGTTGCTCGATGTAGAGAGCCAGTTTCAATACAAGACATTGCCTCTTCGTAGGACTGGACAGGTTCTTCATGAATACCAGTAACGTAAACATTTCCAAGTTCATCTTCACGAATGCCAATCTTTTGATTACCACCAAACAGAACATTTCCATTTTCAGAACTTGAGTTGTAAAACTTCAACAGGTCATGAATATCTTCATTGTAGATTTCGATAAATGAGACGCGAATGGAGATATCATACAAGTCCATTTCCGCCTTTGCTCTGATGAATATATCATTTATCACTCTTGGAATCATGCCATGAGTTGTACTTATGGAACCTTTATACCAAGTTGTTCCCATTGTATATGTCTTTCCCGCTCCCGTTTGACCATATGCAAAAAGACAAGCATGGTATCCCTTAAATATGCCGTCCACCAACGGACTAACTACTTGCTCATAAATTTCACTCTGCGTTTTGTCAGGACCAAAGACAAAGTCAAAAGTAAAACTCTTATCCTTTCCTAAAACCACAGTGTCAGGTGGTTGTACCGTGACACAGGTTTTTCCGCAATTGCTTTTCTCCAACGAACTGAGAGGTCTTACACGTATGGCTACCCTGACTGAGCCGCTTTCTGAAAGGATTTCGTTGTTACTTTCTATTCCATTGCCTTGTTGTTTAACACGAGTATTTTCGGTGGGTGCAATTTGACTAGGAGGTGTTACTTTTTCTTGCCCTTCGCAAGGGTTTTCAGAAATTTTCGTTGAACTCTTCACTTCAAAAACTTTGAATAGCTGCCCTACTCCACCAAACTTCATTATACTATCCTCCAAACTTTAAGAAGACATCTCAACAGTTTCTAGTGCTGTTCTCATGAGAGCAACAAGGCTTTCGCCAAACGTTCAGTCGGAGAAAGGAAAATGGCGGAATTTGAAATCGACATTTTTCCTCTGACCGGGCTGATGAGTAGAAGGGTAAACTAGTCCTATCCTAAAACTCTTCCGACATTTCCACATTGCTCCAGTATAAATACATAGAAACTCTTGAAAGAATTTCTCAAAGAATCCACTTGGACTAAATATACAAACCAATGTTAGTTCATCATTCCATTTCACAGATAAAACTTTTTATTAGCGCCATGAAGAAATTTCATTCGAAATATTTACAAAAAGCTGATTGCTTATTGTCAAACAGGAACTGTAAGCATTGTCAAGAAAAAGTTGAAAGTAAATACTGTATGACTCGTTTGGAGAACCCTTCTAGAAAAAATATATGTTCTCTTAGAGTGACGACAAGGTTATCTCTAATCTGTGATACTGTTAAAGGGCTAGATACAAGACATAAATATCTGATAATTTTGTTTCAACAAAGAAACTTTCGTACCAGCTCCATAGAAAGATGATCGATGTTTTGACAAAAATTTTTAGAAATTTTGAAAATTTTTCAATTCAAGCATTTTGGTGGAGCGGACAGCACAGATTTGAGATGGCTCAACGCTGTACTGTAACTACTATCAACGATATGGTTGACTCTTTAGTAAAAAGTGCAAACGAAGACAAGGCAGAATATCATGAAAAACTATCGGTTTTGAGACAGTACGTCTTGAAGCACAATCTTCCTTCAAACACGAGTGAAGAAGACTTGGGCGAAAAAGGTTATTCTCTTCGTGCTACTGTTTGGAAGACTTTGATGGGAGTTGGTAAAATTGATGTAGGAGAATATGAAAGTCTAGTTCTTAAAGGTCCTTCAAGAGAGCACTTACGTATTCGAGAGGATGCTTTGCGAACTTTTCGTCATGGTAAGATTACTTTCGACAGTTGCTTCTAAGCTTATTTTATATTTCCAGATAGTGAGTTTCAAACGCGAGTACCTGAAGACAAGTTGGTTCGGGTATTAAGCGCTTTTGTTCACTGGAGTGAACGTACATCATTTCACTATCGAGGTGGAATGAATTGCCTTTGTGCACCCTTTTTATACGTTATGTCGGAACCAGAAGCTTTTTTCTGCTTCCGTACACTGATATCAAAATATGTTCCTCAGTATGCTAAATATGACAAAGCAATAGATGCATCTGGAGCCAATCTTGGTTGTAGAATTCTATCCAATTGTCTTCGACATATAGAGCCAGACCTATTTCATTATTTGGAAAGACACGGTCTTGCAGATGCTACACTTTATGCCTTTCCAGCAGTTTCAACTTTGGGAGCCAATGTGCCTCCTTTAGCTGAAATATTGCGTTTATGGGATGTTCAATTGGGGTTTGGAGCTCATATGAATATTTTGTTTACCTTGGCAAGGTTGTGCATTTCGAAAGATGAGGTGTGATGAATTTTCCAATTGTCTACTGTCTTTTTTGCATCTTGCTCAAGCTTCTTATAGATTATGGCTTCAACTAAGCCTATGCAAGTTGTCAATAGTTTAATAGGACCCAGGAGATATGAAAATGGTATTTGGCATTTGATTGTATAATAGATTGGCCAAACAATTGTTAATGCACTCATAGGTCAAGAAAATAATGCGGAAATTATCATTGCTAAAGCCATAGCTATAGCAAAGCAACTTCCCGAAGATTTTTATTGGCAACTTTGTGAACACACACAACATAGCATAAGCATGCCAAGAATTCCTGTTTAGAAAAATGTTGAAAGTTGTCACTTGTATAGAAACTATAAATGTATTTGGATATCTCTTCATTTCCTAAATTGTGAATTGTAAAAAGTGCAGCTTTGTTATGGCAACGAACCAGTCTGCACTAGACGCTGCGAAGACAGAAATGAACTTTTATGCGGATATGTTCAACAAGTAAGAAAGAGTTTGAAGGCTAAATGAATACTAAAGGCACTTTAGAATGGCGGACCAGTGCTTTAAAAAATGCATACCTAAGTACAACGAAGGAGACTTGAACACAGGTGAAATGGTTTGTGTCGATCGTTGCGTAGCCAAGTATTTTGAGGTAGTTTTCATCATCTTCAGTTAGCATCTATGTCTCTTATTCTATTTTTTCCAAGGTTACGCAGAAGGTTGGTGAAGTTCTCCAAGGTAGTATGCAAGGTGGTTTTCAGACTGGGGGTGGCAACCGGTAGTTGGTAAAAAGAGATCTTTCGTTTCTCAGTCACATAAATTTTGAATATCTTTGCCAACTTTTTTGTAAGCAAACAATTTTCTTTTGATGAACAACTTTTATCATATTGGTGAAAGTCTTATCCATCATCTACAGGAAAGAAGCTTAGCATGATTTTACATCCGAAAACGAGTTGTTATATAACTAGCTAGACCTTACATATACTGCTTCTATTCATATTCTTCTTCGAAGCTTTCAGAATCGTTACTGGAGGCCATAAGTTTTGACTTTTCCAGTTTCTCTCTAGTCAATTTTTGTGTTTCATCTTCCATTCTTCTAATATCCTCCACTGTAAGACCATACCACTCATCGATCCAACAAAACAGTTTACGGTGATACTTCATAAATGTGTTCCTTAAACCATAGTACTGACCCCACTGTTCTACCTTTGTTTGCAAACCCCACTTTTTAAACTGCAGCTTACAAACCTTGTAACAGCACATAACGGGTTCCGTATGTTCATACCAGTCTGGCGCCAAAGGTCCTCGTCCTGTTTTCTCTGAATGGAACTTTGTAGGATCTTCACCCTTGACAGCTTTTACCTCATCGCTGGCAATATTTAGAAACTCCACTTTTCTTTTACTAAGTTCTGCTTCCGTCAGACCCAAAGCATTGTCCATAGTTCCCTTATCTTGTACGTGTAAGGAATCAACTACTAACGAAAAAATGTCCCCCAGCCAAGGGTTACGGTACACAGTCTTACACCTCGGATAGGCGTTCCAAGAGTATTCATATATCTTCATTGCTTCTTCTGGTAAAAACATGCGAACAAACTTAGGCAAACGACTAAGAGTTGTCCATGTTTAACGCCTTTGTTCGTTGTGAAATATATTTGGAAACCTACCTCTTCAGGTGAAATATTTTCTCTGTGTACTGTCCTGGAGGCATTCCTTGATCGTTTTCTTCATAAGGCTCGTTTTTTACTATTTCGATGCCCTCGCCAGCCTTCCTTCCAGTTTCTTCCGTGGAAGCCTTTGCAACCATATACAGTTGAGCAATAAAGTACTAGGAAAAATATCACGAAAAGACAAACAAGATTCTGTCATATACAGTACCTCCTCTACACGTAGAGGCATCAACAAACGATATTCTTTTATCAACATAGTTTGTTATGTACCCAAGTGTCGACGTTTCCAACAATAATTTCTTTACAACGGGAAGGAGGGCCTTTTTAATTCATTTGCTATTGAGAATCTAATTGAATCCTCACAACAAAAGGAAAATTCAGACATGTCGTTTCTTCATTCTGTGAACAATAGGAAAGCTATAAACCTGGAAGATGAAGAAAACACTTCTCAAAAAGAGACAGCAAGGTAATATTGTCTGGACGCTGTAAAGTATTGGGTCACTCAGCTTGTCATCCAGATTGGGCACAGCGTTTGTTGACGGTTTGTTGCCGCGCGAAAGTGATTCCGCTGATTTGTCGCAGTCTAGCCACCCAGATAACTGGGTAGAAGCTCAAGATGACTTGGTTGTTGATGCTGGAAACAACTCGCCAGGCGATAGTGCTATCCCATTGAATACAAGTCAAGAAGTTGTTCACGAGGAAGTGGAAGCCTCACACTCATCCGGTGGAGGAGCTGCTCTCAGAGACATCGTACTTGGAATGTCTGATGGTCTTACAGTACCATTTGCACTTGCAGCTGGTATGGCAGGAGCGTTCGCCAGTTCCAAAATCATTGTGTTGGCTGTCTTGGCAGAACTCACTGCAGGAGGTATCAGCATGGGTCTTGGTGGGTACATGTCAGGTCGTACTGAAGTCATGCAATACTCTGCTGAGAGAAAACGAGAGGAATGGGAAGTTGTCAATTGTCCAGAAGCAGAAAAAGAAGAGATATACGATATCCTAAAAGAATACGGCCTGACAAGAGCGCATGTAAGGAGCATTTTGGAACATTTTGAGAAAAATCCAGTAAGGCGTCTTCAATTAATTGTGCATGGAAGTAAACTAACATATTTAGAATAAATGGGTTGACTTTATGATGAAATTTGAACTGGGATTGGAAGAACCGGACTTTTCAAGACCTTGGAAAAGTGCATTGTTTGTTGGTCTATCTTATATTGTGGGTGGTATTATTCCTTTAATACCTGTGAGTGTTTTGAGTCTCCATAGGATTATTTTTCTGGTAAAATTGACTCAGTATTGTGTTTAGTATTTTTTTATCGAGTCCTCCATTGCAGCGCTGAAAGTTAGTGTGATATTTACTCTTCTAGCACTCTTCATTTTTGGTTTTGCAAAGGTAAGAGTTTCTGAGAGAAGCAAGATATTTGAACTAGTGCTGAACCCCTTTTGTAAGGGTCATGTAGTATCACATAATAGATTGGCTTCCGCAATAGAGACTATGGTGATTGGTGCAGTTGCTGCTGCGAGTGCCTTTATTATTGCCAGATGGTTCGATAGCCTAACGCATGCTACTCAAAATTCGTAGTTTGAATCCTTTCGTACATAAGAAATAGTTATATGGAAATGTTCGCATAAAGGGATAATAGAGTAGACATTTGATATGCAATATGGAGAGTGTTTTTAGTCATTTTTCAATTGTACGACTGTGCATTTCATTTTACATGCTTATATTCTTTGATTGTTAATAACGACTCTGACATTGAACCAAATAACTGGCTCTTTCCTTTCTATTCATTTGCTTGGTTCTCGTTGAGAGCAGTTGTGAAAATGTAGCTCGCACATTCTGTAGAAATCGATTAGTAGGATAAACAGAGTAAAAAGATATTCAATGCATGACAAAGTGATCACTGTTGTCAACTTGACTATATTTTATATTTTGAGAAGACTTGCTTTATAAAATTTTGTTTATTTCCAAAATTATATCTGCCCTATTTTAATACGAATGACCTTTCTGAAAGGATAAATAGAATGACCTTGAACAGATGGTCCCTGTAAATTGACTTTGCCGCGATATGAATAACGTTATGGTTGGTTCCACATGAAGGCGAGACCTAGAAGACGTCGACACTTTTCCCTACTAACATGGTTGTTTGTTTTTCGAAAAAGTTTTGCTTTTTGGCTATTTTTAGCTTTCTTGTATGTCATGAATAGTAGTTTTTCAACAGAGCTACTTTCCTATTCTCGGAAAGGAGCCAATTTAGAAGACCCCCTGCTACAAAACCTCTCTGTTTTATGGTTGGGTCCTTTCAAGGTGACTAAAATTTTTTTGGATTGAGTTCCTACTAACTTTATAAACAGGCGGGTTCAGGTTATGGTCAAGAGTCACTAAACTTGTTGCTTTCGATTGCCGATAAACTTCCGCTTTTGAAAGCAGCATATTTTGGAGATAAAGTGTATAGTCGTACCTTGGACGCCTTTTCAAAGAGAGTCTTGGATTTTTTCGAGTCTTTGGAACCAACTTGTGAGGAGTTACCCAGTTATTACTGTGATAAGAGCGATATCATAGATATAAACTGTCCTTGTAACAGGACAGCCAAAGGTAAACTGTTTGATATCGTGGTCATTCACTCTGTTCCAGAGGGTTGGGTTCGGAAAATGTTAGATGTCGGTGCGTACAAAGTAGGAAGAACTGTCTTTGAGTCAGACTCAGTTCCTAAAAGCTGGATAGAACCTGTGAATAAGTTTGTTGATGAGTTGTGGGTACCGTCACAGTTTAATGTTCAAGGTTTTCAAAGTTCCGGGGTAAAGAAGCCTGTTATTGCTATTCCACAGTGTGTAGAGTTTCCAAATTGGAATATTGCTTCTCTACGACGTTCTATCAAATATCGATACGGTTGTCACAAGAATGACTTTATCTTTTTAAGTGTATTTGCTTGGAACGAAAGGAAAGGGTTGAAATATTTACTTGAAGCATACGGTTCTGAGTTTTCTTCGGAAGATGATGTTTGTTTGTTGCTCTTAACACGTTCTTACTCTGGAGCATCCAAGTTACCGGAGTTGAATCAAACAGTGGCAAACATGCTAAGGAAATATAGACGTTTGGACATTCCTAGTTTTCAGTTGGTTTCACAAATATCGGATGAAGAATTGCCAAAAGTATATGCTGCTTCCAATTCTTTTGTTTTAGCAACCAGAGGAGAAGGATGGGCTCGTCCTATCATGGAAGCGATTTTTTATGAACTTCCAGTGATAGCCACCAATTGGAGTGGACATACGGAGTATTTCGGAGAAGATACAGGCTTTCCAGTCAGAGTAGAACGTCTTGAAAAATATTCTGGAAAAGAGGCAGAAATGAAGCCTTATGTAGGACTACATTTGGCAGTTCCTTCCATTTCTGATTTGAGATTGAAAATGAGGCAAGTTATGTTAGATACGGACACTGTCCGCTCTAGAGTACAAAAAGCGAAACGAATGATTATGACTAGATACAATCCCGAAACCATTGGTGATCAAATATTGAGTCATTTTATTAGAATTAAAAAGTCGCTCTTGTCAGGTTCTGTTCAAAAGGACCACTAGATGTATGCAAGTATCATACTTTGAATCAATTTTATACAGGTTAATAAACTGGAATTTTACATACCTGTTTTCATGTGGCGTCAAAGTGCAATGAACTGCATTTCTTGATTTCGATGTACAGTTTAAAAATGAATAAATAATGGCCATTTTCTGTTACGAGATTGACAGATGTTTTCTTCTAGTCGACAAAGTGACTATGCTTTACCTCCTCGGACTTGGACTCGAAGCTGTAAGCAAATCTTTCCCACTGCATATGATCAGACCAATAGAAGTTGTCTCTCCGGTCTTCAGAGAATTCTTTCATGAGCACATGTGTTACGCCAACTTTGAAAGTGACTATTTTTGAACTAGAATTCGTAAAAAAATGCTCAACGCCATTCCAATCTTGCGACACCGTAATCACATCATGTATTTACGCAAGACAACTCCATGCATGTTTGTTTCCAACATTGCCTTTGTTAGGTCAACTATGACATCATCTCCTGAGATTACTTCTTTTGGTTGTGAGTACACAAGTTGAATGCCTATTCCGTCTCGTGGAATACTTTGCTGCTTCTTTGGTTGGAAAGAATAGCTCAATTGGTAGCTCTTTGGACCTTTGACGACAAGATTAAATTTTCTCTTAAATAATACAACATGTGGTGTTCGTAACCTTTTCTTTAGAAATTTTCATAGGCTTGCATTAAATAATTGTTATTTACAGTTGACTTTTGGAGTGTCTATAGAGTTTTTATATAGCATCCCTTATTGCAAAAGAAAACAAAAGGTAATTCTTATCATGCGTTTTTCATTCTTGACCTTAAGAAGGGCACGCAATGTTTCTAAGCCAGAAGAATAGAGAAAATTTGGAAGATTCTTTCGAAAGATACTTGAAAACCATCTTTCTTGAGCACTTTTAAAGTTATGTAACTAACATACACACACACACACACACATAGGCATGTAAGTACATACATATGCATTTACATATGTATAGATGAATATGAGCAACAATTTGATATTTGATTCAAGAGCTGGAAAATGGAAGATTTGATCTTGAAGCTCCTTGATTTCAGCTTTTCAACAGGCTATGAGAAGATATCAAAACGTGTAAAAATTATCATCATTGAATGGCGAGAGTATAGTAACCAAAATCGATAAATGTCCTTTAAGACTTTTAATGAAAAGCGAATGAGAATTTATTTGTGTGGAAACAGTGGTTTGAAATTCTGTTATATCATTCAAGAATGATGACAGAAATGAATTTTTAATAGTTTTAAAAACTATATCTTTATCCATGTTCCAAAAGAATTTCACAAAAGTAATTTTTTGAAACCCATCAGCTTGGGAGGACATTTGAAAGCTCTACTTAGCAAAGTGTTGAAAGCGAAAATTTCCTTTTCCTGTTATATTATCCGCCTACATGAATTTTTTATTTTTTATCGACAGGAAATATATAAATTCGCATGTCGTAAAATGATGAAGAACCCATAACATACAGTATTAAAAGTATTCTTTTAGAACTGCTAATGATTTTTGAAATCCAAATGGTAATTTGGACCTTCAATTTGTCTATGCAGCATTCACAAAAATTACATATTCCTTCCTTGAGGCCAAGACTGTTTTATAATCACAAAATAAAGTTGTCAATTCTGAAGATGTCTTTAGATTTACTTTTGAAGGCTATATTCAAATTCATTTGCCATTTACCATAATTGAATCAGTTGTATCTTCCAACAGACAAGTTCCCCAATTGTTTGCTTTGTATTCTTTATTTATACTCTCCCTGTTGTTGAATATCTAACACTCATCTCCTTCCTCTTATAACACAACAGTAAATGGTAGATCCTAAGACTTTATATTGTCTATTTCTAAGCAAGGATTTGAAAATTTGATGCATTATGACATTTTAAGCAAATTCTGATTGCAGATTCTAACTTTGCAAGATATGCCTATATTTAGAAAACTTGCTCGACTCTACATCTGAACTATTAAACGATGAGTAAACTGAACAATGAACTCCCCAGATTCCGAAAGAATTCACGAAAAGAAAGCTCCACCTTGTTTTTTTAGAGATCTGAGTTCAACGATGGGCTTGATTCAGTGTCTTACACATATATTTGAAAATGCTTCAGTATAAACAGCCATTCATCAATATTGTGATTTTCTTTGGATCAACTTCAATTCTTGAGAGAAGAATGCACAGGTTGTAGTTTTTAAAACCGTTCCCCGAAATATTCTTCCCGTAGTTTTGGTGGATTTCCAACCATTTGTCACTCCGGCACGTGAAACGATTAAGAGCTCAAGTTTCTAATGATGAGTGTCTTAGTCCCTTGTAAATATCTCTTGTACAACGAAAGATATTCAAAGATATTCGACTATCGTATAAAATGCACACACCAATAACCAATGAAGCGATCAAACTCTTCTTGCATAATATATTCCGCAACACGACATGAAACATTATGTTCTGAAAAGGTCAAGCGAGTTTCTAAACTATCGTTTACACATAATAACCAAATATCACCATCACGAATAAAACTTATATAACGACCATCAGGACTCCATTTTGGATCTAAATATCCTTCCTATTGTTCATAAAGCTTCAAAAATGGGACTCAAAGATATAAAACTACTTAGTACCGATGCTTGATAGGAGTTGAAGAGTTGAAAAGCTTCATCCAATGAAGAAGAAGAACTGGGATTGCTATAAGAGAAAACATCCAAATGTGTGCCTTGTGGTAATAATAAGCGTTGAGTAGAGGGATGAAATAAATAACAACATAATCCTTCGAACTAAATAGCGACACTAAGCTCTTCCAAATTATTCCAATAAATTACTTACTGAACGTCGCTGTCTTTCTTTTAAAAGTTCCTCTTCTTTTGAAACTTCTTTGGCATTCTTTATTTTTGAGTCTTCTTCTGAGAGTTGCTGTTTCAAGGAACTTTGTAAACTTTGAGAAAGAGGTTTCCATTCCAAGTCTGCGACACTAGATGGACTAATATTATCCTTAGATAAAGCAACATAATATAAATGGCTAGTAGGACAGTCTATTTCAATACTTGCGTCAATCTACAAAGGTGAGGTGAACAAACAACTCTACAGATAACAAAATCACTACAACTCACACCAAGAAAGAGCAAGAACCGATTGTCCAAGAAAGCAAAGTTTCTCGGAATATTCGCACCATTTTGAGCTTTACGGCACCTTGTAAAGTGACTAAGTTTCGGCCTATTTTCAATAATGAGTGTATTTTAACATACTTGACAAGATCTTTCCAAGTTTGCACACGTTCCATTTGAAATTCCACTTTGAATAAAATTATGTAATGATTGACTTTTGGTTGCTTTGTTTCGTTTTTTTGGTTTTCCAATGTTGTTTGGTTAGTGGTTTCACATATTCAAAAGCTTGTCGTTGGATAGTACCTTTTAATGATACTGTATCTTACTGGAAGAGTACTGGAACTGGAAAAACAATTGAATCCACTATTCAGAATTCGCTCTTCTCGGTGGAAAAAGCAAAACTTTGTGAACAGCACAGCCTTGAAAAATTGGCAGAATGTCTATTTGAGGACCCTGATATCGTATTCTGGACTCGATTTCTATCCGGAGTTCAACTTGAAAAGTTTTATTTGCTGTTGACTGATTGGTTTGAGAAGAACAGTCAGTGTCCTAAACTTTTTGTCATTCATGTTCAACACGGTTTGGGTAATAGACTTCGTGCTCTTGCTTCTGCTCTTGCTTACGTAGAGCTGATACCTCACATACCTATCCTTATTTGGGAGTGTGATCACCATATGGGAGCAAAGTGGGAAGATTTGTTCGAAGATTTATCCAATGTAGTGATATCACCTGTAGAAGATGAAAGTCTTTTGAAGAATCCATTTGGTAATTTCTTTGTAATTGATTATATGAAGGTGACTACCAGGCAAAGATATCCATTGCCTTTGGAGTACACCATCTCACAGCACATTTACTGGAAAAGTGCTTATTTATTACATGTTGTTGGTTACCAGTCAGCGCAGATAATCCGTCGCTTTCATTATTTGGTAAAGTCGCAGTTCTCTAAACTGATTCCTATTCAGCCATTGAAACAAGTCATTTTGGAAAACTGCCCAAGAGAACCCTTTATAGGTTTCCATATTCGACAACGTTTGCTTCATGAAGAGAAATTCGTTACGAAGAATCCTCAATTGGAGTATGGTTATTTTTCAGCTCGTATAATAGACAAATATAGAAGTAAGAATAGAGTAGCTTACTTTTGTACTACGGCATCAACGTTGCTTTCGTTATATCCTTCCATCTCTATTTATACCGCAGCAGACTCATATCTTTCGTATGAGCAATTGTTTCATTGTGTACAGAACAAGATTGCAGTGGATCATCGAAGATTATTGCCACTTTCTATCTCTACTTGTGAAAATAGAAGCAGACTGTGTATTCAAAAGGCTTTAGTTGATTTGTATTGTCTTTCTCAATCTAACTTGTTGTTTGGGAGTTTGTGGAGCTCCTTTACGGAAGTTGCGCATTGGTTGAACTCGAATGATCAGTCTCTTGTTTACTTGCACACAAATTTATTTTTTAGGAATGGAAGTTTTAGGAATGAAACTGAATTTCTCATGAATGTCGAAGAGAAATTGACATTCATTTTGTCGTGAGTTTGTGCAATACAGATGAAATGGAATATTCTATTCACAACACTAACTACATAAATGGTGCCATGAAACGACCTTGTAAGATATTGAGATATTCTATTCCTAGGTCTTACTTGAAAAGCAATATTTGATTGACTTGTTGCAAGAGTTTATCGACAGTGCGGTATGAGTAGTCGTTGGAACAGAACAGAAAAATGTGTTATAACAATCTCATTGACAACTCAAACAAGCCATATCACTTTTTTTGTATGATGAATGGACAGAGAATAATATGTCCACAAAGAATTATTCATTTCGAAAATGATTAAGCCATTGCTGTGATTCTTTACATTTGTTAGTAAGTAACTTCTAACGGACTTAAGTCTATCTCATGAAAATTTAAAAATGATCAAATAGCACACTCTTCAAGGCACAACTAATTGAGTTTCAAAGTGAAAGGTATTCTTTTTCATCGATTATCAGGAACAGTTGTAGATGACTTGGTCATCCTATGTAGCAAATAATAGGTCAATGATATAAATCCATTTTATCACTCCCAATTCCTCAAACATTCGCAGTATTGTAAAGACTAGATATTTGTCAGAGTCCCAATGTAATGGTATCATTCAAAAGATTTTTTAAAGTCTTTCAATTTTTGTCTCATGGAGATTCATTTTCTTTCTGTCTCTCACGAAGAGTTGAAGACTTGAAACTCTCTGGTTTTTTCTGTCTGCTCATCTGCAATCCATTTCTAAATCTCTGTTGCACCGTATATATTCTTTGGTGAACATAAAAAAATGCAACAGACAAAAAGCCTTAGAATTCAACGTTGTAGTTGTAACTGTAAGCAATAATAGCTCATTGTTCTTCATAGTTAAAAACTCATAAAAGCTGCAGGATTTCAAGAACTTGAAAACAGCGTTGCAACCAAAAAAAGGAAATTCGCAACAGCCTTTGGGAAAACTTCTATGGGACTCTCACCTGATCTATGAAGCAATGTCAAACTATTTAAAGGCACAGTTTCTTTTGGATGAGGACTAAAGAGTGGCCAAAACTCTTGGATTCGACATTGAATCAACGAGTTTCTTCTCTTCTAGCAATTCTAGTCTTCAATCTTGAAGCTTCCATTTCGCTGAACTAGTCCTCCAACCTGCTGCTTAACTTTCAAAGGAGCAACATAAGCGAATATCGAGTGCCTCTAAAAATTTGCAGCTTTATAGACACATTGCAAACAAGTCTTCGAAACTTTGCGACTTTAAGAGTGCTACCGAAAGTCTCTTATCCTCCATTCTACTTGAGCAATGCCACATTCCCTTGGGTCATAAAGTTACGGCTCCAACCTCAGCATGTGTTCATCTTTTGGCAAAATTGTGTTTATTCTACAAGTTGGAAACGTCTCGGAATCCAATCAGTATGCGTATTATGTAATATAAATGATAACAAAGCTTTGACTTTGTCACACAAATATGCATAATGAAAAAAATTACCTCTGCTCTGTTGAAACTCTTTGCAATCCGAACAAAATTTTCACAATATCTTCCTCCCTTATTTCTGCATGCATTAAGTCTTCGAAAGTGATATATTTTAGAGCAGAAGCAGGAAGACGCGGGAGCTTTGAAACATATTCACGAACTCGATTGTTATCAAAGCCCACTCGATGAAGAAAAACATTCCAATCAAATGGCGAAGACAAAGAACTCGATGCTGCAACACTTTGTTCGCCTCGTGCATCTCCTCCTTCCACTTGCATAGCAGTTTGAAGCTCTTCCATTTGCATCCTATTCTCCTCATTTGTTCTCGGTCTTATATTTCGAGTTACTCTTGAAGTAACATTTGATTGCTCCAAAGGCGAAACATATTCATTGGACATCGACTCAAAGACAGTTTTACACCATACTGAAAAGTTTTTAGAAAACTCTCCTCGGTTTGCTTCCCCAATTTTCCTCAATGTTTCGACATTATCTCTTCCCAAATATATTTCAAGGTTCCTTTGAGAAACAATTACCAATTGCAGACATGATCGACTACTTTCATTCAAAGTTGATCCCGAAGAATGTTGAGTCACAAAACGACTTGCATCTTCAACAATATTATGTTCTTCGGTAGAGAAACCTACAGATTGATCATAACTAGTACATACTACCACAAACTGAAAACGAAGTTGAACAGATGAAAAAGATTCGTCATTCAAAACGGAAACAACTCCTGGGAAAAATTGTTCTGCTTCCCTATTAATAACATTTCTCGACAAGTTACTTTTGTGATAAAATTTGAATGAAAATCCAACAACATAACGTGTTTGTCCATTATGGAATACAACATATGCATCAGGACCATTCGAATTGCCCTCTTTTGGAACAAAAATACCACAATGTTGTAAATAATCTCTATAATGACCAGAAAATGAACGAGAGACATTTCTCAAGATGGGTATATCATAAGATTTTGTTGATTCCATAGAATACGAAACATTGTCCTGTTCAATAAAAGAACCCTGGAAAATTCCTGGAATAGCAGAATGTACAATAGGCGAGGAATTAGAATGAAGAAAAGTTAATAAGCGAAAACGAAAGATCTTCATAAATACAAATTCAAAGAAGACTCCTTTTGCTGTTGAAGTGTCGGGAATATAACTAAACGGAGATAAAGGAAAAAGTTCAGTAGCTTCACGGAAAAAGTTATAGTTGCTATGAGCTCGCAATATAAATTCACAACAACCAATCTTGAACTTAGCGCCCGAATCAATCCCGTCAGTTTCACAAATTTCAGAATAAAACCCAAAAGTTGCAACCAAGTCCATCAAATAAGTTCTCGTTCCACATAGAGTAATTGCAAATCCGATTGGGAAAATCGTTCCGAGTTGATAATTCAAAAGGACAAATTGATATCGAAGAAGGGTTGCGGAATCTAGTATCTCTGGAATAATAAAGGTTCCTGACTCATTTAGTATATCTTCAAAGACACCATCTAATAAAAGTTCCATATTGTCATCGTTGATAGCAGGTTGAGATAAGTTTGCAAGTTTCCCTACTAGGGCTAGTAAAGTATTCTTTACAATCAACGGAATACCCCCTGTCTTCTTCTTCAACAATTCTACGAATCGATATCGTAAATCATCGGAGGGCAATAAACAGTCCTTCAAGGACTTTCCATCATAAGTTGCCAGCTCAATATATTCGTTAATATCATGGAGATTAAACGGATTCAACCGCAACATATGGAGACTCACTCTACTGGAGCGAGCATCAGACAGGCGGGCTGAGATTTCGGCAGTTCGCCCAGCAATATACAGGATAACTTTTCCTGTATTAAGCAACTCATATACAGTTCGAAAAAATTTGCGATACGGGATATAACCAGGATCGGACTCGACGAACTGTTTCATGGTAAGTTCACTATAGTATGCGGTGAGGTCACTTAGGTGGCTAAGTTCGTCTATCATCAAAAATAAATATTGTTTCTGAAACTGTTCGAGAAGATACTGGACAAATAAAGAAACACTAGGTTGCTTCATCGCTGCGTCCGTGAATTCTACAATTTCTCGGGCACTCATACCATTACACTCGGCTGTAGCCATAGCTATGTTATACATCAAAGCCTTTCGAAAACTTGGAAAAGGAGCATGAGAAAAGCTCTCTCCTAGTTTAAAGCAAACTGACAAAGTTTTTTCCGCAAAGTGTTTCCAAGAAAAAATCTTCAAATCAACTTTTCCCGATGAGCTCTTGTTGAAAACCTCTGTCTTCGTCTGCTCTTCTTCTTCGTCGGCGAATTTTTTTAAAAACTTTAAAAAATTTTCACCAACACAACTCTTGCCCGCCCCAAAAATGTGAGGGGAGAAACAAGCTGCAGGACGTGGAGTATTCAAGTCTCCCCCAAATCGAGGAAACTGGTAGTAATAAGTTCGAAGAATAGAATAAACATCTTCTTTTCTATCTATCAACGGTTCGTTCAAACTCATTTTACACGCCGCCGCCAATCCGAAATCAATTCACAACTAATGAATAAATCAATGACCGAAAAGCTTTCAAAGGAGATGGAAGAGAGTGTATGTTTTATTGTTCGAGCGATTGCTTTATTTGGTTATTGGTAGAACTGATCTCTTTGACACTTCTAGACTCACAATGACAATAGAGAGAAAGCCGGAATATTTTCTTGCTTGTCGTAATTAGAAACTTTCTTTTACTATAGACAGGAAATAGGTTTCTATGAGTTTTTGTGGTGAATTAGATTGATGGGTACTCTTTCTATGGCTTGTATACTGTAAGAGAGTTTTTCTACTATCTTCCACACCATCCTATAACTCCTATATACATGTCTCATAAGATACAAGCTTTTTGTAAGTTACAGACGAAATACAGTGGGAAACAGAGAATTGCATTGAATGGGAAGTCTGTTCGTGTGGAACTGGTCGTAGCACAGTTTATAAATACAAAAGTATCTAAAGGAGTTTGGAGAAGAGTATTATGTAGATTGTCATACTGGCTTATCATTAAATACAAGCCATTATTGATGTAATAGCTACACAAGTTGTCTATTCTTTGTTCGACTTTTACCAAGTTGTGAATATGTCTTATATAAGGACATCAATTAAGGCTTCAAATATAGTCACTATAAACCTTCATTTTCCACATATCGATGCTGAAAAAAGAGTAAAAGATTGAGCCAAAAAATTATTTTGCTAAAGAAGAAGCCTTGTGTACTTGAGTCAAGGTCGAGTAGTGTACTAAATTGAAAGCTTCAGCAATTCTCCAACTGAAAGCCACTCCATATTGAAGAACTTTTACCCAACGTGACTCTTATGTTGACTGAAAGACGTTGTAGTTCCTAAGTTACCGGTCAAGTGATTGTTGTGGAATGACAATACTTCAAGATTGGATATGGTTTCCTTTGACTAATTAGAAACAATTCTGTTCCACTCTCAAAGTTGTCCTTTGCAATGCAATATAAATAGAACTCCTATGTAAATAGTAATTTTCTGAAATAGAAAGTTTTTATCTCAGTGTCCAAATGGTTAGAGTCACTTAAGATGTCTCTTTTACTATTAATAGTCAAACGAAATTTTTTATATCGAATATCATCTTTGCAACCGGGTTACTTTCCCTATCTAAGAGTCGGTGAGTTTTCAGTCTAATTCACTAAAACAGAGTTTGAATATATAGTGTTGTTAGTACTTTTGAGATAGAGTTTGAATTGCAAACTAAAATACTTTTTTTAGTATTTGTTCTTATCTTTGCTATATTTTCTCTTGGTTCCAATACGTTTCATATTTGTGGGAGCCATTTATATGAATTCCAAGGCTAGAAATGCAGTTTGAAAAAAACACATAAAAACGAAAGGAATCTAAACTTTTATCGAATTTCAACAAGCTAAACAACG